TTCTCTCTCTCTCTCTCTCTCTCTCTCTCTCTCTCTCTCTCTCTCTCTCTCTCCCCCCTCTCTCTTTAAAAACAAGGGCTTTCTAAAGCTCGTCGCTCTGGCCCTCGCCCTCCTCGCCGTCGCAACCTCCGCCCAGGCTCCCAAGCCTCCCCCGAGTTCGCCGCCGCCTCCCCTCCTCTCCTCCGCCCGACCTCGTCGCGGTAGCTCGCCGTCGCTCCCCTTCTCGCCCTCGACTACGCCTTGATTGAGAGCTCTTGCTATTGGGCCTAGCTGCATTAACAGAGGCAACAGCATGTAGTGATGATGGGCAACCTGAAGAAAAATGAAGAAAATGGCAAAGAAGGAGATCATTAGACTCTACAGAACAAAACCCATTACAGAAAACTTTGCCTGGATTGAAAGTGTACCTTCAGTATTGGCTGCAACTGTGTCCAAAAATCCTCTTTTAGTGGGTTTAGAGGCTTTAGGAAAATAACCTAGAGAGAGGACTGAAGGATCTTCTTCATCAATCCAATTTCTCTCCTTTGACGCCATCAGATTAAGTAGCTTTGGACAAACTTCACTTTTCTTTCTAAACTCTTCTCCCATTTTTTTACTCAGACTGGAAAACCAGAGCCCGATAGGAGGAGCTAAGAAAAAATGTTAAAAAAAAAAGTTAGTTCTAACACGCGGGTACAATGTTAGTTCTAACACGCTACAGTGTTAGTTCTAACACGCTACAGTGTTAGTTCTAACACGCTACAGTGTTAGTTCTAACACGCTACAGTGTTAGAACTAACACTGTACAGTGTTAGACTGTAGCTTGTTAGAACTAACATTGTAGCGTGTTAGAACTAACACTGTAGCCGCGTGTTAGAACTAACTTGTTAGAACTAATACTGTAGCCGCGTGTTAGAACTAACACTGTAGCTTGTTAGAACTAACATTGTAGCGTGTTAGAACTAATACTGTAGCCGCGTGTTAGAACTAACACTGTAGCTTGTTAGAACTAACATTGTAGCGTGTTAGAACTAATACTGTAGCCGCGTGTTAGAACTAACACTGTAGCGTGTTAGAACTAACACTGTAGCGTGTTAGAACTAACACTGTAGCCGCGTGTTAGAACTAACATTATAGCTTGTTAGAACTAACATTGTAGTGTGTTAGAACTAACACTGTAGCCGCGTGTTAGAACTAACTTGTTAGAACTAACACTGTAGCCGCGTGTTAGAACTAACACTGTAGCGTTTAAGTCTCCTGATACTTCTCCCATTCCTTTGTAGGTGGTTTCATTTATGAAAGAAATTGGTTTTGATAGCAGAACCATAGGGAGAATATTATGTCGCTGCCCAGAGATATTTTCTGCTAATGTCGACAATACTCTCAGGAGGAAAGTACAATTCCTCACAGATTTTGGCATCTTGAGAGGTCAACTTCCTCGTGTTATTCGAAAGTATCCCGAGCTTCTTCTGTTAGACATCCATCAAACTTTACGTCCAAGGTATAAAAAGTGTCATGCTTATGAAGTTCTCTAACGTTTCTGTAATAAACATCATTTATGTTATTTTCCTTGAAGTTTTAGTTTCAAATGTGGAATTAGTCATATTACTTTACTCCATGCACGACTCTTTCCTGCTTATTCTGCATATGAGGCCAAGTTTTTTGTGGAAAGATCGGATCATATACCTTCTTGTGCCCAAATGCAGAACATGGTGCTCCCAATACAGGATTTTTGGTAAGATCGTTAGTGCACCAAGTAGACTTACTTCATTCTTTAATAAATTTATGGGGTTAAACTTGTAATTAGGTTTGTATGCCCGAAAATTCCATTAGGTCAATTACCATCAATTATTTCCCCCCAAAACCCCAGATCAATTATTATTTTCTGTAAAAAATCCAAATTAGTGCGTGTTAGTTCTAATCTGCACAGTGTTGGTTCTATTCCGTAGAGTGTTAGTTCTAATCTGCACAGTGTTAGTTCTATTCTGTAGAGTGTTAGTTCTAATCTGCACAGTGTTAGTTCTATTCTGTAGAGTGTTAGTTCTAATCTGCACAGTGTTAGTTCTATTCTATACCATGTTAGTTCTAATTTATACCACGTTAGTTCTATTTTATACCGTGTTAGTTCTAATTAATAACAAGTTAGTTCTATTTTATACCACGTTAGTTCTAATTTTAACCATATTAGTTCTAATTTATAACAAGTTAGTTCTAATTTATAACAAATTAGTTCTAATTTATACCACGTTAGTTCTAATTTATACCAAGTTAGTTCTAATTTATACAATGTTAGTTCTATTTTATACCAAGTTAGTTCTATTTTATACTCCATGACAAAATCCAAGCAAAGATAAGAATACCAACATCAAATTTAGACTGCCTGATACTTTTGTACAAACCAATTTAGAAATTTAGACTGCCTGATACTTTTGTACAAACCAATTTAGACTGCCTGATACTTAGTCTTATGTGTACAAACCAATTTAGACTGCCTGATACTTTTGTAGGTATATAATGAAAAGACTGAAGGGAGTTTTTGTAACATTTCAAGGACCAATCAAAATTTCTCAATTTATCATAGAACACATGACGTCAAGCGGCATTAAGTCAAATTTTGATACACGAAACTTTTTGCAGGTCTGCATCTATAAGAAATCCAAATTATTTTGCCGGCCTGTGCGGAGGTGGCGACGGCGAGGAGGGCGAGGGCCAGAGCGACGAGCTTTAGAAAGCCCTTGTTTTTAAAGAGAGAGAGAGAGAGAGAGAGAGAGAGAGAGAGAGAGAGAGAGAGAGAGAGAGAGAGAGAGAGAGAGAGAGAGAGAGAGAGAGAGAGAGAGAGAGAGAGAGAGAGAGAGAGAGAGAGAGAGAGAGAGAGAGAGAGAGAGAGAGAGAGAGAGAGAGAGAGAGAGAGAGAGAGAGAGAGGGTTATTTTGAAGATTTTAGCTTAGTTGGCATGTAATAATTGTTAAAAAGGGGGTGCAGCACAAAATGTCACACTTCAAGGGGCTGAATCACATGGGGGAAACTAGGAGGGGCTGCAGCATATGAAGTTTCTGTTTTTGGGGCCTGGACACATTTTTCCCTAAATTTTTTGAAAATTTCTTAAATTTTTTAAAGATATTTTTACTATTCAAAACAACATTTGGATTTAAAAGTAATTTTTTAGAATATTCAAACTAAAAAAATAGAAAATAAAAACATCTTTGAATTTACAAGTGACGGCAGCGGTAGCATTGCCTCGCAGCACCACCCCTACCCTCCATCGGAATCTTTACCCAGTGATGTGCCGTCACAACCACTGTTTATTTTAATTTTTTTTGTTGGGAGGCTAGGCTGTTGTTAGGAGAGTGAGCCTCGATGCTCTGCATGGGGGCCTCCGGCCAACCCGACGACCACCGTGTCATAGGCAATGGTAACGACAATTAGGTTTTTTTTGAAATTTGAAAAAAAAACTTTTGTTTTTATAAATCACATGTTAAATTTTTTGATAAATCCCTGATTTATTAAGAATTAATAAATCCCTAATTTATTAAAAATAGCCCACTAATTTCATAAAAATTGAGCCTTTCTCATAGATTTGATATCCCGAATGTCAAAGATTGGATTTTTAATACCAAGAATTAAATTTTTAATGAAAGATCTAATCTTTTTCTCAATAAAAACCCTAATTTTCTATTCTATGGCCAAAATCACCATAAAAAACTTACGAACTATCCTAGATCCGGCTCCAATACCAATGTGGGATATGAATAATTATACGCATGCAATAGGGTAAATCTACATCTGGATTATGTTCAACGGAAAATAAGAAACTCAAGCATGCTTTCTTGGACATAAACAACAAGTTTAGGGTTTACCAAATGGATGATTTATGTAGAATCACCACAGCTTTCTTGATCAACGGTCGGAGGACGACCACACCGTGCAACTGGTGAGAAGCCCTCACATATCACCTCGCTACTACCGCATAAAGCACGAATTCGAACAAAGAAGGAGATGATGTCTTTCTATTTATATGTATATTTTCTCTCTTACCTATCATGAAAAATCTTATATCTATTTATACGGACTTAGAGATAGAACCCTACACTCATTAGGTTTATCTCTAAGATAATACATTATCCACCCACTTATTTGAGTGTCTATCTTATAACCATAACTAACCAACATTTATCATGTTTTATTTGTTATCCACCCAACGAGACCAAACATGCAAGTCATAATCATTTCTTGGAAGCTTTTCCTTTGCCCTTCCTTTTGTCTACAGAAAAGGAACCTTCATCTGGTTTATTCTGTGAATCTCATGGTGTATATTCCTTGTAATTTTATCAGTGTGTATTAGAGATGGGTACCTTTCAACTACCAAGATAATTATTGTGTTATTTATATTTGTGATCATTTATTAATGTTTGAATTGGTTTTACTAGATAGTAAGCAACCAAAACAACTCTTGTTAAAGCCACTATTAAGCTCATAACGTGAAACAATTCCCTCTAGCTAGCCGACCATCTTACCTGTTTGTGGATAAAGATCGTACTTGGGGAAATTTTGGAAGATTGTTCCATATCTAACTGCACTGTTAATTTCATGCTACTTTGGTAACAAAAGATTTAAAAGCCTTCGAGAATCGGATAAATGATGAGTTCATGAAAATGGATTGCTGCTTGACATTTTATAATGACAGACATGACCCACACTTGTCCATAGTTTCCTCAGCCATCATACAATTTGAAGCATATATGCTCTGATTAATCCTTTATATTTGATCAAAAAGATTTCACCTTTGTGGGATTATGCAGACTATGCAACTGAAAAGACTATAAAAGATTAGCAGACGTGAAGGAATTTTGTACGGAAAAAGAGAGATTGCATCCAACACTTGAGCGTATAGATTCATCCACTTAATCCGGTGGAGGTAAAAGCAACCAAAAAGAAGGGGGGATGGTCACAGGTGAGAATATATGGACTCATGTTTCACCTTCAACGGCTCAAAGTAACAACACTTATGTTAAAGCGCACAAATTTATCTTTATTTGGACAATATTTATGTTACCCTAAAGGGGCGACAATTAGACATCATACATTTTCTCTACCTCTATAGCAAGTTTTAACATATAGATATCATACAATTTCGATAACCAAAAAGGATTATATCACATAACTTCCACTCACTTATTTTTCTCGCCTCCGGCCAAATCTAATAAATGGCGAGCTCTAAGTCAGGCGATGGAAGATGAGAATGATGCTTTTCAACCAACGAGGAAGACTGTGACACATTAAGATCAATCTCATCATTGCCAACTCCATTACTTGTCACATTAAGAGATAGAAGAGGAAATCGAAAGTCACTCGAAGAGGATGAATCTTTAATCTTTGGCATGCCATCAATTACATGAACTTGTGCTTCGCAGTTACCAGCCTGAAATTATGATAACTGATTAAATGATAATTCTTTGATAGAAAGAAAATTAATTCCGTTCATATATAATTTTTTTTACCACATCAAAACGGCTAGATCGGCGCTTGGTGTTGTTGAGGTTGCTTTGTCTAAGAAAGTACTTCTGAGCATGGCTAGCCACTTGGGTAGGAGTTCTTGTTGTCACATAATTACGCGAAATACCACGCCAATCTCCTTTTCCAAGCATTTTAAGGCCAGCTAGAAACTTTCCATGTTCTTCCTCGGTCCAAGGTACTCCTAAGAACAAGTATGAGTTCGGTTACAGATCATAAAACCATAGGTATATATGCGTTTATGTAGCTAAGCAGAAGAAATTAAATAGACTATCGAGTCCAGAATTATCATTGTATGAGATGTTCATGCTTAAATTTACATAAACCTTTAAATTCTAACAATTGCAAGGAATCATCATATGAAAAAAGGGTGGGTTTAATCGCGGATAGACCCCCTGTACTATCCCAATGTGGATAGACCCCTGTATTTTCGAATTGGACCTCTGTCGTATCGTCCAGTTGCAAATAGGGCCCTGAGTATTTTGTTAAGACTCCTTTACCCTCACGACCGTCTACTAAAAGAAATTATATTTCTTTAACTGTAAATGAGTCAAAAAAAAATTCACTCCGGAGGTTTATCTGCAACAATTGAACTACGGGCAGTCTATCCGCAATAGGGTGACAGAACAGAGGTCTATCCGCAATTAACCTACAATAATAAATAAGTAGATACATCCATAAACTAGAAATAACCCTATCGTGGATAACTGTATAAAAACTATTTATTAACAGAATTAGCTGATTGAGTCCACACTTGTTCTTGAATACCATATATATCTAAAAAACGTCACGCTTGTAGAATTCGAGAAAGAAATCCATTACTGGTAGGAAATGGGAAAAATTAAAGGCACGAGTGAGGTTGACCTTTCTTTCTCTCTTGTGCTTGCTCCATGAGATCGTCAGAAAGATAGCCATTAGTTAATTGTTCAGAATTTTCATTGCTAGACACGAGAGAAGCTGATGATCGTGACGGAGAAGAGGAAGAAGAAGAAAGGTAAGAAGGCGATAAGCAATCCATGCTACAATTCTTCTTCATGGGTGAAGAAGCTATGAGAATCTGCACGCCAAAGAGCTTCAAACTCCTTGAATTGCTGCATGTCCTAGAGTTATGCCCCTCGTTTCCACAATGGGAGCATTTTCTTGCCATCTTCAAAGAAAAATAAACAAACTCCACGCTCAATCAACTGCAGAGGAGAAAGAGTCTTTTTCTTCTGTTATGTCTTTTGGTTGGTTGGGTTTATATCAGTAGCTAAAAAGCAAATGAGTCCTGGTTTTTATTATAGAGATATACTGGGGCCAGTGGCATCAGCATATCTTATTACTCATGTTGTGCGCAGCGGAAATTTTGGCGGCACTAATCAATGGGATTTGTGTTGCTCTTGTCAGATACTTCGACAATGAGAATAACAATTTATAGTGTTTTGAAATAAAACTCAGAGATACAGACGCTCTTTGTCGCTAATTATACGACATGTTCCACTTGACATGACAATTTGATTTACACATAGACGATCAAATCAAAGCAGTGTGGCACATTGATCTAGAAACTTGACTAGTTCTTTTTGTTTTTCTTCCTCTTATGGTCCTTCCTCTTTTTCTCCCCCTATTTTACTTATCTATTTTCTTCTCCTTCGTCTTTATATATATTTTCTATCTATTTTCTCTAGTCAATAATCTCTCGGACTTCTGACCCTTGTTACTAAAAATAATAATTTATAATGACATATGCATGTATCAACAGTGATCCTAATATAGCATTCACACTTGGAGTTTAAGAACATATTGATTGGACACTATTATGGACTCATCATGTACACATCTATGAATATAGATATCTAATCACATTGCATGGTGGATGATTATATAGAATAAGACAAATATCCAAAGACCCAGGATTGGTGACCGGAAGTACTGAGGAGATGAAGGAATGAGTAGGGTTTGCAAGTAGGGGACTTCGCTTTTGAAAGGAATCTGTTTATTAAGGAATCCACTGCTTTGATGGATGTGACTTAAAGTACTCTAATTATAAAGATTTTAAAGAGTTAAGTACCTCTCATCGTTTAACCCCATATTTTGATGCCTGTCTCCTAAGAATTTTCGTAGAGTTACACGCTACAATTAGATGCTTACTCGACAAATTATGTTAAATAAACTCCGTAGATTTCAACAGGGGAACACAAACTGCAGATATCATTGGCTAAATAATGAGTATTTCTTACACCTTACTCCTAAATACACACTCCAAATCTCAAAGTAAAGGCGATTGCTTATTTTACATAAGAAAACCCTACAAGAATAAATATTTGTCAAAAATATAAACCGGACTAGATAATTCATATTCACCAAAAAAATCCACAAGGTTTCCCCTTCAAGATGCAACTTTTGAATCATTTAATTTGAGACAGATAAGTTCATAGAATTCAAGATGCGCATGCACATGAAAATGGAAAATGCGACGCAAGAGATTCTCACCAAGAGATGTGAAAAAATATATCTTAGTATTTCAATGCCAACTTGAGGATTTTTCAGCGTGCTGCTCCTGTTACTAGAAATAATCCCATTTGCTTATCCTGTTACTAGAAATAGTCCCATTTGCTTATACAATCAGCTTGCTAGATACTCATAGATAGGAATACTAATGAAATAACAAGGGGAAGAATGCTTATGTTCTCTATTATTGGCTTCATCTTCATTTCTCTACCTATCAGAAGTGCTTATGTTATAATAATCCCTCGAGTTGGAGCCTTTCCTTTTTGGCCTTTTTCCCCCCCTATAAGAGCAACTCCAAAATGCTTGTTTTTTTCTATTCTATCTTTAATCGAGAACAACCAAATGGCTCCTCACTTTCCATCAAATAAATTAACTAGAGATACTAATCACGTCCCTTGATTGTGACCGATATCAATATATATATATTAGGTGAGAAGATAAGATAGCACTTATTAATTGCCGTTTAAAATAATGACGACACTGCTTAGCCTTGCTAATAGCACACACCAAATCATGCTTAAGAGTCTCAAACAACAGCTATCACATCAAATATCTGCAGACAATTAGTAGTGATCTCCAATTGGATAGACTAAACTACACCAACTAATCGTAAGGAATGTTCCACGGCGGTCGTTTTTCATTTGAAGATATTAGCTGGCCACTTATTAGAAGTAAAAGATTGTTGACTAATCTACTATTTCTCACTCGCCGCAGGCCAAAGTCAGGTTCAGAGGTATATTTGAAAAGCTCTAAAGCATTACTAAAGCATTACTAGCTAGCCAAGCTTTTCCAAGAAAACTATCCGTGCAAGATATCAGACTAATATTTAAGTGGCCACACACGGTTCCTCTTTGGATGGGAAGTTCACATGCATCCAAAAGATCCAATCCGATATAAACTAAAGTATTTTCTGAATACATACATGCATGCACTAGGACGTTACAGGGGTCCATAATATAGTTCGCACATGATTTGAGGGGAATTATTGGATGTCTTCCTCTTTTTAATCAACTCCATTACATCATTGTTTTGTGTCCTTTGAGACACTACTAGCTAGAACAATCAATTTTTAGCACATCCTATCAAATCGGATCACATGAATTATAATGACGCAATGGAAAAATACGACAATCTAATAGAATTTGATCCTGATTAATGAGACATGAATCAGTAGAGAGATGCAGTTTCCAACCCATTTTTGATATTTCATCTCTTTTTGTTTTTTTTAATGAAAGATATATATGTTCGGTTGTGAACTATGATATTTCTATCTGACAACATTTCCGCTGCACATATATATGAATGACCAAAGAAGGGACTGTCGCGCGCCTATGTTCGGTTGTGAACTAAAATACGACAGATTAATCACAAACACAGAGATATACGTGATTCGGCAATTTGCTTACGTCCACGGAGAGAGGATGGGGAGATTCCACTAAATCAAGGAGAGTACAAAGGGTTACAATTTCACAAACTTACAAACTAACCATCAACCAAAGCTCTCAACTTGCTCACAATATGTCCTTCTCACAATGCTCAAAAGTCTCTCTAATCTCTGATTACAACTCTCCTCTTTTTGATGATCATAATCTCTTCTAAGGCGTTCTACATATATAGAAAATCTAAAACCAAAACAGACTAGGAATTCTAAAACAAAAAACAAAACAAATTAGGAATCCTAATAACATGTTACCAAAACAGATTAGAAACCTGCTATCTAACAATTCTCCACCTCGACGAAGTATTACCAAAACTGAGCTGACACCAATATGAGCACCAATGCGTCGTCTCACCAAATTCGGCTGCACCAATGTGATTGCCTACGTACCCCCTCTCTCAAGGGATCAAGCCGCCCGTAGTTCATCCAAATGCCCGTCAACGACCTCAACAATCACGAATGTGCAACAAGCTTCTACAATGATCAAACTTTTTGTTCGGAACCACCTTAGCGAGTATATCCGCCGGATTATCCTTCGTGTGGATCTTCACAATCTCCACATCGCCATCTTCAAGAATATCTCGAACGAAGTAATAATGAACGTCAATGTGCTTCGTCCTCGTATGAAAAATCTGATTCTTCGTCAAATAGATAACACTCATGCTATCATAATGAATAGTGACGGACCGCTACGATATACTAAATTCCTCCAAAAGCCCTCTAAGCCAAATAGCCTCCTTCACAGCCTCCGTAATCGCCATATACTCTGCCTCCGTTATAGACAAAGCCACCGTAGACTGTAAGGTACATCTCTAACACACCGACGCACGGGTCAAGGTGAACACATATCTCATCATAGACCGGTGCTTATCCAAATCTCTGACATAATCCGAATCAACATAACCAATGCACAACTGCCCACATGTAGTGTACTGCTCATAAACCAAACCAACATTGAGCGTACCTCGAATGTACCTCAAAATCCATCTCACGGCATCCTAATGACCCACTCCTAGATCATGCATGTATCTCAAAACCATGCTCACCGCCTGTGATAAATCTGGCATCGTACATACTATCACGTACATCAAGCTCCCAACCATGCTCACAAATGGAGTCTTCGACATCAACTCTTGATCTTCAACTGTCTTCGGTGAGAGGTCAGCTGAAAGCGTAAAATAGGCTCCCAAAGGTACAGTAACTGGCTTCGTATCCATGCTAATATGAATTCACTGTAGAACCTTCTTCAAATAACTCACCTGTGTCAAACAAATTTTGCCCTTCTCTTTGTCTCTGCCGATCTCCATCCTCAAAATACGCTTAGTCTCACCCAAATCCTTCATCTCAAACTCCTTTGAAAGATGTGTCTTCAACTCATCTATATAAGACCTGGAAATAAAGGCAACCAACATGTCATCAACATAGAGCAACAAATAAATATACACACCTCCTTTCAACCTATAAAAATACACGTAAGGATCAAACTGGCTCTGAGTGTACGAATGACCAAGCACAAAATCATCGAATCGCCTATACCATTGTCGAGGAGACTGCTTCAAACCGTATAGCGGTTTCTTAAACCTGTAAACTAGGTTTTCCTTCCTTGTAACTCGGAATCCCAATGGCTGAGTCATAGATATTTCTTCATCAAGATTACCATGAAGAAATATCATCTTCACATCTAACTAATCTAACTGATCTAACTCTAATCCATATTGTGCCACCAAAGCTAGCAAAATCCGAATCGAAGATTGTTTCACCACAGGAGAGAAAACCTCGTTATAATCAATACATTCCTCTTGTGCATAGCTCTTCGCAACCAACTTAGCCTTGAATCTCAATGGAGTACCCTTAATGCCATCCTTCTTCGTATATACCCACTTGCAACTAATTGCATTCCGCCCCTTTGGAAGCTCAACAAGCTCCTATTATCGTTCTTGTGAAGAGAGTCCATCTCCTCCTGCATAGTCACCTATCACGAATCAGCCTCCGAACTCTGCTCGGCCTCTCTGAATGTAGTAAGTACTAACTCATCGATACTCTCCATCGGAAGTGTATATGCAACTACTATGTTAGTATATCATGCTGACATCCATATGTCTCTCCTCTGTCTCTGAACCATAATAGAATTCTGAACCTGAGCCGTCAATCCCTAATCCTGTACAATTGTACCCGTATCCTACTCGTTGTCACCGTGCTCGCCTGGCGTTACCTCGATCGACACTCTAATGGATATTGTACTATCTAGATAATGTGGAGTTGCATCGATCTCCACCACCTATGATATTTCCTCCGCCGG